TGAGCTGGACTGTTCCTATTGGCTAAGAAGGAAGGGGAGGGAAGCGAGTGGGGTTTGAGCTGAGCTGGGACTTTTCTATAGATGGAGAAATTCACGCGCACGGGAAGGGGATGTGGTGGTGAAGAAGAGGGAGGGATTTTTTTTATGATTCTCGAAAACGTGCTGTTCTAGGGACCTGAAACTCTCTGCAGCCATTTTGGGTGTTCCTCCTATCCGCCGGCCACCGTCTTAGACATTGGCTAAAACATAATTGCCTAACACATTCAATAAACATAATACCTACAATGTATCCCAGTGCTGTGCTATTAACCATAGATTGGAAAAGAGAAGACAGAGTCTGTCCCTGCTGCCAAGGGACTTTTAATATGATTATAGTTTTAACTAAAGCTACAAGTGGACAAAAGACCTATGTTTTTCCATAGGTCAGGGCATCATAAGGACAAGATTTTATTTTATTTTATTTATTTATTTTTTTAAAAAGATGACCGGTAAGGGGATCTTAACCCTTGACTTGGTGTTGTCAGCACCACGCTCTCCCAAGTGAGCTAACTGGCCATCCCTATATGGGATCCGAACCCGGGGCCTTGGTGTTATCAGCACCACACTCTCCCGAGTGAGCCACAGGCCGGCCCTAAGGACAATAAAAGAAATGTAAAAGGTCTTCGTTTACTTCAGGAACATGCAGGAAGCCTCTCCGCATTACTCTCTTGCTTGAATACATCCAGGAAGAATAACTCACTGCCTCCTGAGGCATTCCACTCTCAACAGAGGTAAGAATAACTTCCCCAGGCTATGGTTGTGTCAGTGCTTCTAAGATAGCCTGTTGCACAATGGGAGGCAGTCCTCCTGTCTAATGCAATGACCATTTATAAAATGTGACACTATGAGTGCAGATTTAAGACTAAAATGATAGCACCTCAGCCCAACAGTTTACTTTGTCCCCACAGTGGAGAAAGGCCAAAGAAAGGTAGGCCTACCTCCACACCCTTTGTAGATAAATTAAATTTTACATCATCACCTATATCCATACTCAAATATACAGCACTCACTTATTTGGTATACCTTGCCTTCATTTCATTATAAAAGTTCAAGAGTTATATTATGCAGAAAGATGCAAATCATGGAGCTACTGTTAGAACGAAAATAAAAAAGAAGAACCCAAAGGGAGTTTGCAAAAATAAAACATCCACCAAAAAGCCATTCTGGTAGACTGCATTGTTAATGGCAATTCCTCATCTCTCCCTGCATGTGGTCTTGTGATTCCTCCCACAAAGAAGCGAGAGGCTGGCTGGAGAGCATGGTGCTGATAACACCGAGGCCAAGGGTTCAGATCCCCTTACCAGCCAGCTGCCAAAAAAAAAAGAAAGAAAAAAAACCCACAAAAAAACAAAAAAGCAAGCAGAGTATGCTTCCCCACTGCTTGACCTTGGGTTCAGTCACAGAGTAGGGCAGAAGTGACAGTGTGCCAGGTGAAAAAAAACCCACAAAAAAACAAAAAAGCAAGCAGAGTATGTTTCCCCACTGCTTGACCTTGGGTTCAGTCACAGAGTAGGGCAGAAGTGACAGTGTGCCAGGTCCACGCCTAAATCTTGAGAGTCCTCACATGCTTCTGCTTGTTCTCTCTTATGCTCTTCCCTCACTGTGGGAAGAAACACTCAGGCTAGCCCACTGGCGAGGAAAAGATGTGACACATGAAGCAGAGTTGCCCCAGATGAGCAGCTCCACTGGGCCCAACTGAGACCGGCCATTTGGCCTCCAGATGCCTGCATCTAATAAACACTTATGACTGCACGCCACTGAGATACTGCTGCTGTTGGTTACGAAGCATATACTAGCAAATAGCTAACTGATACAGCCACCTAAATTAAAGCAGGATTATTTTTTAAATATGATGCATTATGAAGTTTTCCCTGTTTTTATTTTGTAACACAAAAATTGCCACATAATTCTATATAAATGAAATGCACATTTCATGTTAGGATCTAAGGTCAGGAATGGACCTAATCTCAAGCATAAGATTAAGTAAATCCAAATGAAATATATTCTCAAGATATTACTATTTTAAATGTATGTCTCTTCCTTACCTTTTAGTTTATTGACTTCAATCTTAAGTGCCTTCAATTTCTGCTTATAATCTTGCTTTTCTTTCACAATACAAGTCTCCGCCATCTTAGCATCACGTAAAGCATGCTCTAACAGTTTAAATTTACCTGAACAGTCTGCAATGTGATTGACTGCCTCAATAATATCTTTGTCCTAAAAACCAAATTTGAAAACTGTTATACTCGATTTTTAAATTCCACCTATTCAATAAAATTACACTTTTTAAGATCTCATTGTATACCAGGTTTTACTTTAAGTACTTTTCATGTATTAACTCATTTAATCTTCACAGTAACTCTATGAGGTAGGTAATATTGTTATCACCAAATGACAGATGAGTCAACAGACACAGAAAGGTTACGTTACTTGCCCATAGTTACACACTACTAATGGAGCCACCATTTGAACCCAGCTGGCCAGTCTCAGCAACCATGTGCTGTCACTATATCTTACTATCTCTTGAAAAGTTTAAAACCAGGCAATTCAATTATCTAAGAAACTGTAATAACAATAGGAGGGTTAGCAGCTCTTAGACAGGGAGATCATCTCTAGATTACAGAAAAATCCCGTGGGCCTGCCATTTCCTCCCTTCTTTCAGCTTGCTAAAATGATAGACTTTGAGACCTTATCCCAAACCTAACCAAATTAGAATTTCTTATTGTTCAGGTTGTTTTAATTGCCAAAAAGGTATCTGCTTGTTGAAAACCACTTCAAATAATACCTAAAAGTCTAAAAATAAGTAAAAGTTCTCTCTCTTCCCTACTTACCTGGAATAACTATTATTAACAGGTTTGACCCCCGCTTCAGCATAAGCATTTCCGCTATAGCACCACATAGGCGTTCTTGAAAAACCTCATAGTCTGCACTTCTCACACTCGGAGGGCTTATGGAAATAAGATTGGGGCAGACTGTTCAAAAACCAATGGAACTTTGTGACCAGACCAGCAGCAAAAAATAACAGTCTTAATAAGTACACAAACACAGTGAAGTCAATGCAGTAGAGAAGCATTGCAGTCAATCGCTGTCAGCCTTAAACCTGGGGCTCCTATTTCCTCCTTTGATGTAGGTCCTGGAGGGCATTTGATTCTAATAGAGACCATTTTCACAAAAATTAAAATTCTAATTCTGTGAGTACAGCCTTTTAACTAATCCACTGTTTTAATGTGGGGGAAATGCCTTTGCAGCATCTTCACTTGTACTCACAACTTTGCCAGAGAATTTGCTATGATGGAAACCACAGTGTTTGTTGAAACCACTGTACTGGCCGCTATCTGACTAAAGATAATTCTGTAGATTTTAATATTTTCTCTTTAATTTTAAGAAAGCTGCCCCCAGTCACTTTAAAACATTAATGTGTTCGTAAATATCACATATGATTAGCATGAGTGTCCCATTATAGCAACATCATTCCCTATTTACCAATTGTCAGAGAAATGTATTATAGCAGAAGAGATTGTATATCACTGTATATTGCATGCTAGTGACTATATCAACTGCTTGACTGCTAAGTTTTTCTCTTCATTTAAAAAAATTAGTAAGCAATCAGATTGCCAATAACTTTACAAGACCTAATACTGGATATCTGGGAAGAAAGCAAGTTAATTCAGGCATGTCGGGCCATGGAATGGGCCTCGAGAAGACCAGTAGCAGAGTCCTACCTCTTCTATTTATTTATTTATTTGTTTGTTTGTTTCATATGCTAATATGTAACCAACTGCCACCTCTCAACACCTTGGGAACACCATTTTAAACTTACTTCCCCCTAAAACTAGAATTTAAAAAAACAAGAGCGACATTGGTAGCCCCACATTTTGGGGTTGTTATGTGACTTAGGTAAGATAACGTATATGAATATATTTTATAAACTACAAAGTGCTTGGCAAAGGGAGGTATTATTATTTTTAATTACCTTTAGCTTTATCATTGTAGTGAGAGCCTGTTCTCGAGCTTGTAATTGTCCTACCTGAGCAGAAAGTTCCACTAATGTGTTGCTGAGATTTTCGTTTCTAGCCTACAAGGGAACAACACATAAAATACTAATTGAGTCATTTTAAACCTTTCATTACTATTACTAGCCACAATCTCTGCATTTCTCTATTTTGTTTTTTCTTTATTTAACTTTTTAAAGTAACAAACTGTCCTAAGTAAACAACTACCAAAATGGAATACAAATATCTATTTCTCCATTCACTCTAGCATCCTTTCAATATTTGTATTTGCCCTACTGAATTAGTGGTTATGTTTGTAAACATATCTCTTTCCTAATACCTTTTATGTATAATTTTAGGATGGGAAGAAAGAAGAAAATGAATGAATGAGAACTGGATTAGTAAGAGATTTTCTTTGCTGAAATAAAGAATCATTAGTGAATTCTATGCATTTTTTTTTTTAACTCTATGTTGAAAGAACTTCATACTGTGGTATTTCCACTCATCAGCTGTTTTTTTACTAAACCATAGCGCTATATCTGATATAATTATTGTGTACATGACATATCTACTAGCTGGAAAAAGAATAATCAGACTTTTTAAAAGATATATTCAGGAGGAAACTTCAATGCATATTAACTAAGTGAAGAAAGTCAATCTGAAAGGCCTACATACTGTATAATTCCAACTAGATGACGTTCTGGAAAAGGAAAAACTATGGAGACAGTAAAAAGATCAGTGTTACCAGGGGTGGGAGGCGAGAGAGAGGGACAAATAGGCAGAGTACAGAGGATTTTCAGGGCAGTGAAACTATTCTGTACATACTATAAGAGTAGATATATGTCGTTATACCTTTGTCAAAACCCCACAGAATATAAAACACAAAGAGTGAATGCTAACACAAACTGTGGGCTTTGGGTGATAATGATGTGTTCATGTAGATTAATCAATTCTAACAACTGTATTGCCGTGGTACAGAACGTTCACAGTGCGGGAGTTGTGCATGTGTGAAAACAGGGGGTATATGGGAACTCTGTACTTTCTGCTCAATTTTGCTGTGAACCTAAAGTGTTCTACTTTTTTTTTTTTTTTTTTTTTAGGGGTCTGGCGGGTTTGGGGATCCGAATTCTTTTTTTTTTTTTTTGTGTTTTGGGGGGGGGGGGGGTCGGGACCTTTTTTTTTTTTTTTTTAGGGGTCTGGCGGGTTTGGGGATCCGAATTCTTTTTTTTTTTTTTTGTGTTTTGGGGGGGGGGGGGGTCGGGACCTTTTTTTTTTTTTTTTTAGGGGTCTGGCGGGTTTGGGGATCCGAATTCTTTTTTTTTTTTTTTGTGTTTTGGGGGGGGGGGGGGTCGGGACCTTTTTTTTTTTTTTTTTAGGGGTCTGGCGGGTTTGGGGATCCGAATTCTTTTTTTTTTTTTTTGTGTTTTGGGGGGGGGGGGGGTCGGGACCTTTTTTTTTTTTTTTTTAGGGGTCTGGCGGGTTTGGGGATCCGAATTCTTTTTTTTTTTTTTTGTCTTTTTCCGTGTCCGGCAATGGATCGCAACCCTCAGTGTTGCCCCCGTACCGGACCAGGGACCGCCAACAGGATTGCAACCCTCGGCGTTGCTCCCGCGCCTCGCTCAGCCAGTGAGCGGGAACCGGTCTGTATGTGGGATCCGAACCCTCGGGCAGGAGCGCCGCCGCGCTTCCCAAGCGGCGCACTATCCAGTGCGCCACCGGGCCGGCCCGGGATCCAAACTCTTGACCTTGGTGTTATAACACCACGTTCTAACCAACTGAGCTAACCAGCCAGTGCCTAAATTGCTCTAAAAAATAAAGTTCATTATTAAAAAAGATATCTTCCGTTTTTCATACAACATATCAATAAAGTCTAGAATAGTTATTCTATCCAGACTAGTATTCTTTAAAAAAATAATAATAAATAAAATGAAATCTACATTCTTATTATGAACTATTAAGACTCATTAAATTACCAAGACCTATACTGAGAGGAAGGTTTCGGTAATGGGCCACAATAATCAACCACATTGTATATCAACAAAATAAAATTTAAAAAAAACAAAAACAAAAACCTATACTGAATATCATTATGAAACAAGAATATGAAGGATGTAACAAAAAGATAAGCTGGCTTTCTCCATGCCTCTCATAAAGCATGAGCTCAAAAAATATCTGATGACTGACCAGTTAGAACAGAAAACTGAAAAATAAGTCTTACAGATTTTAATTCCCAATACGCCACTAATATGGTGAAGATATTTATCATATCAGATAATACACTATCATTTAGAAAGCATAATTTGAGGGCCGAGCCCAAGGTGCACTCGGGAGAGTGCGGCGCTGGGAGCGCAGCAGCGCTCCCGCCGCGGGTTCGGATCCTATATAAGGATGACTGGTGCGCTCACTGCGCTCAGCCGGTCTCAAAAAGGACAAAAAAAAAAAAAAAAGAAAGAAAGCACAATTTGAAGCTACCAAAACTTGATGATACTCATCTCAGACTTTGAGAAAGGCTTTCTACAATAACCCATTGTTGATAAAATGGTAGATGCTACGAAACCAAATGACATAACTTAAAAAAGAGTTGCAATGAAGCTTCATCTAGAAGACATGACAGCACTGCATAGCTAACCAAAGCAGTTAGCTACAAAATTATGAGGAAAGGATGGATGCACATACTTTCATACACACACGCATGCATTTTTTTTTTCATTTCATTTCTTTCGTCTCTCATATGCATTTTTAATGGAAACATTTAAATCAGATCTTTAAATAACCAAAACAGAAACAGAATTTAGACTAGTGAAGCATCCCAAAAAATAAAACCAACCTCAAGGTCTTCAGAGAGGAGAGAAGAATGAGTTGCCTTTTGAGCCATTTCCTGAAGCTGTAATTGAGTCTTCTGAAGAGCTGTCTGGCATTCAATTTGATTGGATTCAAGAATTTTTACCTTCTTCGTGAGTGACCTGATTATTTCAGATCTTTTATGTAGTTCACCTGAGAGAAATTTCACCAAACTTATTTGTGGTCAGATCTGAAGCTTAAAATCCATTATTTTCAAAATCAATGGTTAAAAAGTAAAAATGTGCTAAAGATTTTTTAAAAAGATAATCTCTTTTAAAACTTTCTGTTGTGAAATGCACAATTCTGTCCCTCATCAAGAAATAGAACACTGTCAGCAACCCAGAAGCCCCCTGGATGTCACTTCCTGAACAATCTTTACAATTTCCACTTTCCCAGCTACCACACTGATCTTAGAGAAATCATTTGTTTGCTTTTATTATAGTTTTACTACCTATGACTGCATCCCTGAAAAATATAGTTTAATTTGAACCGTATATAGTGGAATTATATTCTACAAATTCTTTTTTTTGTCTTTTATCTTTTTCCGTGTCCGGCAACAGATCGCAACCCTCAGTGTTGCCCCCGTACCGGACCAGGGACCAGCAACGGGATTGCAACCCTCGGCGTCGGTCCCGCGCCTCACTCAGCCAGTGAGCAGGAACCGGTCTGCATGTGGGATCCGAACCCTCGGGTGGGAGCGCCACCACGCTTCCCAAGCGGCGCACTTATCCAGTGCGCCACCGGGCCGGCCCATATTCTACAAATTCTTATTTGCTTTTTTCGTTAAGATTTTGATTCTGAGATTCATCCATGTTGTTGTGTATAACTCGTGTGTACACTAACATTGCTACATAATATTTTATTAAACGATTACAACGAAATTTATTTATCCATTCTACTACTGACAGTCATTTGGATTGTTTTCATTTTGCGACTATTATAAACAATGCTACTCTGAATATTCTTTTACATGCATCTTTGATAGTTTGGATGTGTTGTCCCCGCCAAAACTCACATGGAAATTTGATCTCCAATGTGGCAGTGTTGGAAACTGATTGAGTCATGCGGGCAGATCCCTCATGAATGGATTAATGTTCTCCCTAGGTGGGGGGAATAATGAGTGAGATACCACTCTATTAGTTCCCAAGAGAGCTGGTTGTTTAAAAGATGCTGGCACCTCTTCTGTCTCTCTCTCTCTTGCTTCCTGTCACCATGTGATCTGCTTGTACCTGCTGGCTGCCTGCTGTTTTCCGCCATGAATAGAAGCAGCCTGAGGCCCATGCCAGATGCAGCTGTCCCAGAACTGTAAGCCAAATAAACCTCTACTCTTTATAAATTACCCAGTCTCAGGTATTCTGTTATAGACAACAGAAATAGACTAATACAATCTTGGTTCATATTTGTAAGAGTTTCTCTAGAGCCTTGCAACTCAAAATGTAGTCCTTGGACCAGCAGCTTGGCATCACCTAGGAACTTGTTGGAAACGCAGACTCTTGGGCCTCAGACCTATTATATCAGAGTCTACATTTTTAACAAGATCCTTAGGTGATTCATGTGCACATTAAAGGGTATGTGTTATTCCTAGAAGTGGAATTGCTGGGCCATAGGATACGTGTATCTTTAACTTTACGAGACATTATCAAATGATTTTCCAAAGTAGTGCCAGCTGATTCCTAGCAGCAGTGTATGAAGCCTTCCTTTGGCTCCACCTCTTTACCAACACCTGATCATTTTTGCCAGCCTGGTAAATGTAAAATGTTATCTCATTGTGGTTTTAATTTGCATTTCCCTAATTACTAATGAGAATGAGAATCTTTTTATATATTTATTGGCTATTCAATTTTCCTCCTTCCATGAAGTACTTATTTGAGTCTGCCTTATTTTAAAATCAGATACTGATGGCTATATATAATCTTCGTTATACACAGTATAACATATAGTTATATATATTAACTTTGTTCTTTAACATGTTTATATAAGTGATATAGGCTATTAAACTATGTTTAAAGAGCAACCATTTTAAACAATGTGTGTATATACATGTGTGGGTGTGGGTGTAGTCAGAGTAAAATCAGATTGTCATCAAAGAAATGGAAAAATGTTACATATTTAGATTGCCACATTTACAGAATCCTTCGTGTAATACAGTTAAAAAGAAGTGCTACATGGTTATCTTTCTATTAAACAGATCTAGTGTTTTCCCCTCTAATACATTCTACTGATAACCTAGTGTCAATGGAACATTCAGATTTAGGGCAGTACTTGAAGGGATGACAATTAAAATATGGTACAAAAGAAAATTTTTGCAAGCCATTGTTAAGACTTTGATAATTTTAAAAGATGATCATTTTAGGTACTTAAGATCAAGTTCAATACCAAAAATTTAAAATCTTTGAATCAATTCAAAAAGAAATGGCTAGTCACACTTCCAGTCAAGTTAGCAGAATAGACAGTCTCCAGCATCACTCTCTCCCAAAAATCAAGCAATTTTCAACTATAAAAAAGCAACGACAGCCCAGTTGGGGCCACTAGAGCTCAGGGGAAGAGCAGGAGAGACCTACGGACTGCATGAAGGTGGGAGAAGCAATGATAAGAGAAAGAAAAAACCACTCCAATCATTTCAAATCCTGGCCGTTTCCAGGCTGGAGATGCTAAGCACACGGAGCAGGAGCTGGCAAAAGCCGCAGCTGTGCCTTTCAGATGAAGTTGCTTGGAGGCGGCAGGGAAGAAGAGGACCTTTGTGGCCCCCAGGCCAGCGATACCACTAATAGGGTTCCCGTGGACCCACACAAGACGAAGGAGCCACTCAGAGGCTGGTGAGTCATCACAAGGGACTGGAGTACAGCCCATCCCATGGGAAATGTTTGGAGCACTGGCAGTGGGGGAAGATGGGTCCACTGGGGGAACACTGGGACACAGCAAGGACAGCTGATCTGCCCCCCAATCAGTGCAGGACCACTCAGAGGAGACTGGTCAGGAATATAGAATTGCATGGGGTGCAGTTTGATGAAAAGACTCAGGCCCAGACCAGTATTTCTAGACAACCCAGGTGCACCAGATTTCACTAGAACCAGAAGTACCTATAAAATCAACCATTAAGCATTTCTTTACAGAGCTGTGTCACACCATCCTTTGGGCCCTCTGCTGGAAAAGTAGAATCAAGTCTCAAATAGTGCCTTTTTAATTGTATCCTCTAGTATTATATATGTAGGACAGTACTGTACCATACCTCTGTGAGTGTAAAATATCTTGTACCTGCTTTATGATACGTAGTAGTGACTGTGCTTTATCAGAGCTGTTTTTAATGATGTTATTCTAGAATGTTTACTTTCCAGATGATGATTGAGAAGCTAATAATAAAAAAAAAATGGTGCCAGGTACCACAACAGTAATAGAACTTTGCTGTTCTTCTGGGGTTTTGTTTTTTACCTTTTTTTTTCCTTTTTTTTTTAATGGAGTTTGCTGGATGTCTCTAATTTTGTTCTGATGACTGCAGAACTTGGAAAAGCTGTTGCTGCTATTGATGCATAACATACTGCTATTATTGGTCTTTTTATACATATATACATATATATAATTTGAATTTTTGGAAACTTTAGTTGTGCTGTCAAATCTGGAAAAAGTATCCCAGTTTACCTTGTTGAGTTGGCATTGTACAGAAATTAATAGCCATATTGGTCTAGAAACATTAAACTTAATTTTTTTCCTTTGTACAGGGGTAACGCACTGTATTAAATACGTAAGGTCTTATCTACATGAGATTTATTACAGAAACTAATAAAGTATTCTCTAAATAAAATAAATAAATAAATAAAATCAACCGTTAAAACCTGAGCTGCACAAAAAGCCTTCCCTAAGGAATCAGCAGCAAAGCAGCAATTTAGCTCAACCACAGGGCTCAAGTACTGGTCCTCACAGGAAGTTCCCCAATTTTAGAAGTAAGCAAATTAGTTCCAGCACAGTTTGAATGGTGGCAACAGCAAATAATCCAACATAGAACTGAAAGAAAAAACAAAGTACCCACAACCAGAGACAAAATTTGATATTAACTAATAAAGGTCTCATTTCACTGAAGAACACCTATAACACTTAAAAGGACTGGAAATCCCTGGGCTACCAAACCAGAAAGAGGGGAGGGCCAGGGGCCTCAGCCATGCCCCCTGACAGCCACAACCAGTCCTGAGGGTGGGGGCCCCAGGCCTCGGCCACACACCCATAAGTGCAACCACCCCAGTGATGACCACTGAGCCACTGCAGGAAGCACCCTGGGCTCTCCTGAGCTGGGGTGGTGGGGGAACAAGGGCCTCAGCCACACCCCCACTCAACACCTGCAGCCAGCTCAGCGATGACCACCAAGCCACAACAAGAAGGGCCCTGGGTTTCTGAGCTGGGATCATGGGAAGCAAGGTCTTTTGCCACACCCCCCTGACATCTGAACTCAGCCTGGCAATGACTAAGCCACCACTTAGCCCCTCTGTCTCCCGTGTGGGAATGTGGGGGATACTACAGGCCTCAGTCCCACCCCTCCTCCTTCCTCCTTCTTCCATCCCATTTCCTTCCCCTTTACCCTCTCTCCCTCCCTCCCAACTGCTCTGCAAGAAGGACTGGAAATCCCTGGGCTACCAAACCAGAAAGAGGGGAGGGCCGGGGGCCTCAGCCATGCCCCCTGACAGCCACAACCAGTCCTGAGGGTGGGGGCCCCAGGCCTCGGCCACACACCCATAAGTGCAACCACCCCAGTGATGACCACTGAGCCACTGCAGGAAGCACCCTGGGCTCTCCTGAGCTGGGGTGGTGGGGGAACAAGGGCCTCAGCCACGCCCCCACTCAACACCTGCAGCCAGCTCAGTGATGACCACCAAGCCACAACAAGAAGGGCCCTGGGTTTCTGAGCTGGGATCATGGGAAGCAAGGTCTTTTGCCACACACCCCTGACATCTGAACTCAGCCTGGCAATGACTAAGCCACCACTTAGCCCCTCTGTCTCCCGTGTGGGAATGTGGGGGATACTACAGGCCTCAGTCCCACCCCTCCTCCTTCCTCCTTCTTCCATCCCATTTCCTTCCCCTTTACCCTCTCTCCCTCCCTCCCAACTGCTCTGCAACAAAATCATACAATGTAAAATAATATTAATTAAAAATAAATAAATAAATAAACGGCTAGTCATAGGGCACCTTTATCCATATTCTTGCTTAGAATTTCCTTCAGATTCACCCTCTGATGTGCTCCATGTGAAATGGAGCTCTTCCCAGCACCCTTTCTATATTTAAATACTTTGCGCAACTTTATTTGCTGTTCAGTGTGGCTGTTCATAAAATCCCCCTATCTTCAATGAGACTAAATTCCAGGACAGCAAGGATTGTGTTTTTTATTTCTTCTCAATCTTCCCCCTGAGCCCTTTCAATGTGCTGGCATACAGAAGTGCATAACACATGTTGTTCAATGTATTTCTGACCTTCTAATTTGCTGCAACGTTCTTCCAAAGTCAACACTTTCTGCCGATCCTCTTCCCATGAAAGAAGTTGTCTTTGATGCACTGCGACCATATCATTTAGTTCTTTATCACGATCTTTTAATTCTCCAATGAGCAGCTGCAGCTCCTTCCGTTGTTTCTCGATTGTGGAAATCTCAGCTTCTGACCCGATGTTCTAAACATAGAAAATGGTTTTACATCAAAATAAAACTAACCAATAAGGGCCGGCCTGTGGCTCACTTGGGAGAGTGTGGTGCTGATAACACCAAGGCCATGGTTTCGGATCCCATATAGGGATGGCCTGTTGGCTCTCATGGGAGAGCCTGGTGCTGACAACACCAAGTCAAGGGTTGAGATCCCCTTACCAGTCATCTTTTAAGAAAAAAATAAAAAATAAAAAAAACTAACCAATAACATAAATCTGCTAAAGTATATTTTCCAAATAATTAAATCTTCTTATGCTGCCAATTCTAAGTAGTTAAATTAAGTTTTACTCACCGTTACTAACATGGCATCAAATTATGCATTTTTTTCTTTTTTTGGTGGCTGGCCAGTCTGGGGATCTGAACCCTAGACGTTGGTGTTATAACACATGCTCTAACCAACTGAACTAACCAGCCAGCCCAAAATTATATATATTTAAAACAAGTTCAAACCTACCATGCACTCTGCCTCTCTATCAATCTTCTGTCATACCACACACACCATTCTTACAAAGTGGGACTGAATCAAAGGAAAAAAAGTGGGATTGTCACTAAAACCTCCACTAGCTAACCACAAATAAACTGACTTCTGCAAAAATCCTTTGCTGTCAGTTCTTTCCTTGTGCTGGTTGACAATATCATCCCCTACCTTGCCCCAGAAATTTTGGAATAACCAAATGAAGGTAAACATAAAAGAATTACTGTTTAAATGCAAATAAGTCTTACTAACGAATGGAAACTTTAGTGTATAAAAAGAGAATTAAGTCCTACAGTGTTAAATATTTACTGTGTGGGAATGTGGGGGATACTACAGGCCTCAGTCCCACCCCTCCTCCTTCCTCCTTCTTCCATCCCATTTCCTTCCCCTTTACCCTCTCTCCCTCCCTCCCAACTGCTCTGCAACAAAATCATACAATGTAAAATAATATTAATTAAAAATAAATAAATAAATAAACGGCTAGTCATAGGGCACCTTTATCCATATTCTTGCTTAGAATTTCCTTCAGATTCACCCTCTGATGTGCTCCATGTGAAATGGAGCTCTTCCCAGCACCCTTTCTATATTTAAATACTTTGCGCAACTTTATTTGCTGTTCAGTGTGGCTGTTCATAAAATCCCCCTATCTTCAATGAGACTAAATTCCAGGACAGCAAGGATTGTGTTTTTTATTTCTTCTCAATCTTCCCCCTGAGCCCTTTCAATGTGCTGGCATACAGAAGTGCATAACACATGTTGTTCAATGTATTTCTGACCTTCTAATTTGCTGCAACGTTCTTCCAAAGTCAACACTTTCTGCCGATCCTCTTCCCATGAAAGAAGTTGTCTTTGATGCACTGCGACCATATCATTTAGTTCTTTATCACGATCTTTTAATTCTCCAATGAGCAGCTGCAGCTCCTTCCGTTGTTTCTCGATTGTGGAAATCTCAGCTTCTGACCCGATGTTCTAAACATAGAAAATGGTTTTACATCAAAATAAAACTAACCAATAAGGGCCGGCCTGTGGCTCACTTGGGAGAGTGTGGTGCTGATAACACCAAGGCCATGGTTTCGGATCCCATATAGGGATGGCCTGTTGGCTCTCATGGGAGAGCCTGGTGCTGACAACACCAAGTCAAGGGTTGAGATCCCCTTACCAGTCATCTTTTAAGAAAAAAATAAAAAATAAAAAAAACTAACCAATAACATAAATCTGCTAAAGTATATTTTCCAAATAATTAAATCTTCTTATGCTGCCAATTCTAAGTAGTTAAATTAAGTTTTACTCACCGTTACTAACATGGCATCAAATTATGCATTTTTTTCTTTTTTTGGTGGCTGGCCAGTCTGGGGATCTGAATCCTAGACGTTGGTGTTATAACACATGCTCTAACCAACTGAACTAACCAGCCAGCCCAAAATTATATATATTTAAAACAAGTTCAAACCTACCATGCACTCTGCCTCTCTATCAATCTTCTGTCATACCACACACACCATTCTTACAAAGTGGGACTGAATCAAAGGAAAAAAAGTGGGATTGTCACTAAAACCTCCACTAGCTAACCACAAATAAACTGACTTCTGCAAAAATCCTTTGCTGTCAGTTCTTTCCTTGTGCTGGTTGACAATATCATCCCCTACCTTGCCCCAGAAATTTTGGAATAACCAAATGAAGGTAAACATAAAAGAATTACTGTTTAAATGCAAATAAGTCTTACTAACGAATGGAAACTTTAGTGTATAAAAAGAGAATTAAGTCCTACAGTGTTAAATATTTACTACAACATTCTTGCCCATCTATAGACGCTCCATCTACCAAGTATCAAGGACAATTTATTATTGTGACTGGTCCAAACTCAACACACCGATTTAAAAACAAACTTTGTAGGGAAATTTTTTACATATACACAGAAAATAGTACAATAAGCTCTCATATACCGAGTTCCAAGGTGCTACCATTATCAAGATTTTGCGGCTTCTGGTCAAGATGGTGGAATAGATAGTCCCCAGCATCACTCTCTCCCACAAATCAACCAATTTACAACTACTAAAAAGCAACAACNCAATAAGGCTTCCAGTCAAGATGGTGGACTAAACAGTCCCCAGCATCACTCTCTCCCACAAATCAACCAATTTACAACTACTAAAAAGCAACAACAGCCAAGTTGGGGCGCTAGAGCTCAGGGGAAGAGGAGGAGAGACCTACGGAGGGCATGAAGGTGGGAGAAGCCACGATGAGAGAAAGAAAAAACTGCTCCAACCATTTCATGCCACAGCCGCTTTGAAGCTGGAGCTGCTGAGCACACGGAGCAGGAACCAGCAAAAGCCACAGCTGTGCCCTTCGGATGAAGTTGCTTGGAGGCAGCAGGGGAGAGGAGGGCCTTGGTGGCCCCCAGGCCAGCAGTAACACCAACAGGGTTCCCACAGACCCACATAGGACTGAGGAGCCACAACAACTGAAAAAAGGGAGCCACTCAGAAGCCAGTGAGTCATTGCAAGAGATCAGAGCACAGCCTGTCCCATGGGAAGTGTTTGGAGCACAGGGGTGGGGGAGACAGGCCCACTGGAGCAACACTGGGGCAGAGCAAGGACAGCTGATCTGCCCCCCAATCAGTGCAGCACCACTCAGAGGAGACTGGTCAGGAATACAGAATTTCTTTTTTTTTGTCTTTTTTACCGACCGGTAATGGGATCACAACCCTCGGTGTCGCGCCCACACCGGGGACTGGCAACAGGATCGCAACCCTCAGTGTTGCGCCTGCACCGCGCTCAGACAGTGAGCGGGAACCGGTCTCCACATGGGATCCGCACCCTCAGCGGGAGCGCCACCACGCTCCCAAGCGGCGCACTCTCCAGTGAGCCACCAGGCTGACCCAGGAATACAGAATTTCAAGGGTTGCAGTTTGATGAAAAGACTCAGGCCCAGACCAGTGTTTCTATTACAACCCAGGTGCATCAGATTTCACCAGATCTGGAAGTACCTATAAAGTCAACTATTAAAACCTGAGTTGCACAAAAATCCTTCCCTAGGGAATCCGCAGCAAAGCAGTAACTTAGCCCAACCACAGAGCTCAAGTGCTGGTCCCCATAGGAAGTTCCCCCATTTTAGAAGTAAGCAAAGGACAACAAATTAGTTCCAGCACAGAGTTTGAGTGGTGGGAACCGAAAATAATCCAACACAGAACTGAAAGAAAAAACAAAGTACCCACAACCAGAGACAAAGTTTGATATTAACTAGTAAAAGTCTCATTTCACCGAAGAACACCTATTAACACCTAGAAGGACCAGAAGTTCCCTGAGCTACCAAACCAGAAAGGGGGAGGGACCAGGGGCCTCAGCCACCCCCCCTGACACCTGCAACCAGTTCCAAGGATGGGGACCTTGGCCACACACACCCCTCCCCCCTGGACAAGTGCAACCACTCCAGCGACAACCACCAAGCCACCACAGGAGGCGCCTTGGCCTCTCCCGAGATGGGGCAGTGGGGGGCTGAGGGTCTCGACCATATCCCTCCTCATGCTCAATCAGCCCAAAGATGACCAGCAAGCCTCAGCAAGAAAGGCCTGAGCTGGCACAGTGGGGGGCGAGGGTTACTGCCACACCCCCTTGACATCTGCCCCCAGCCCCGCAATAACCAAGCCACCACTGGAAGCCCACTGGTCTCCCCTGTGGGAATGAGCGGGGTGCCACAGGCCTCAATCCCACCCCTCCTCCTTCCTCCTTCTTCCATCCCATTTCCTTCTCCTTTCCCCTCTCCCTCCCAACTGCTCTACAACAACCTCATAGAATGTAAAAATATTAATAAAATAAAAAAAAGATTTTGCTACATCTGTCTCAATTTTCCTTTTTGTTATTAATACAAAATGTCATTTCACCCTTACATACTTCAGTATGCATCTCTAAAAATTAATATTTCTTATATAACCATAATGCCATTTTCATACCTAACAGTATTATCTATAATAATTTCTTTTAAGCACAAATCATTTTAATATCTTGTGCACTGAAGTTGGTCTGACAAAGAGTGAATCCAGAATCAGCAACTTGGTGGCAAAATAATCTTAGGCAAGTTACTTCTCTAAACCTTAGCTTCCTCACCTGTAAAATGGTAATAACAGCACTTTAACTTCTTAGAGTTGCCTGGATTGAGCAAAAGAAGCTCTGTAAAGAATTTAGCACAGTGAGAGGCACATAGTAAGCACTCAACAAACATTAGCTTCTTTTTTTTCTTTTTTTTGGTGGCTAGTTGGTGCAGGGATCCAAACCCTTGAACATTAGCTATTATTAAGACTGTAAACCACATTTCAAATTATGGTACTGTCCCCGTCTATGAAATAAAGAACTAATAGGGTTACTTTAAGAGTTCTATCTTCAAGACAGTAGTTAAAAGTTCATCAGCGGCCCATGTACATAATTACTGCTTTTCGAAAAATAAGATTTAAAAGTAAATAGAGGGCTAGCTGGTTAGTTTAGCTGGTTAGAACTTGGCCTTGTAATACCAAGGTCAAGGGTTTGGATACTCCTACTGGCCAGCCACCAAAAAATAAAAATAAAAATAATAATAATAAACAGGAATGATGTATGAATTACAGTTACAAGTAACTTAACACAGAAAATGGAATTTGGAGTCAAGGGATTCCAACTCACAAGACTTGAATTGCAGTCTTCGGTTAGCCACTCATTCATTCACTGATTCACTCACTCACCCACTCAGTCATAAAATATTTACTGAGCGCCAGTGGCTCGGGATACATCTATGAGCACCCCAGGTGAGGAGAATAAATTCTAGCGCAGGAAAACAGGCAATAAGCCAAGTACACAAAAAGCGTTCATCCTATCACTAGCCATAGATGCAAACCGTGGGCAAGTTCACGTTCAAGACGTTTTGGCAAGACAGAGTTGTAAGAGTGCTCTTCCACTCTCCAGGGTAAGTAAACTAAGGACATCAAGCGAGGTGGCGAATAGAAAAGCAACTCTTTGTATAAACGCCAGTTGTCAACGTTAACAGTGAGCACCTAGTAGTCACGACTCATCTTCGGGCCTGAGCTGAACAGGTTTTTACCAGGTTAAGGACACTGATGTGACGTCATTCTTACTCTATGTTCTGTGTACTGTTTTAAGTTTTAAGCAGAAACCATTCCTTAAAGGCCACCTAGGCTGAGGCCAGCGAGCACTGCTCCTGCCCGAGGTCCTCCGTCTACTCGCATCCAGACGCGCCCGGAGGAAACGGCGGGCGGGCGGGGCAGCGCCGGGACGGCGGCCGCTCACCTGGCGCCCGGCGAGGAAGGTCGCCGAAGGGTTCATAGGTGTTTCCTCCGCCCCGGGAGAAAGTCGGTGTGGGCCGCGTCACCTGCGAAAAGCCATAGGCGCGCCTGCCCGCAGCGGCGGGGGCGAGCCCGCAGCCCCGCGCGCCCGCCTCGCCAAGCACGCCCGCCCAAACCGCC